ATATATAAAACTTCAATATATGCAATATTGCATATATATTTACCACTCCGTGACAGTATCGTATAAGATATTCGGGTAATAGGATATACATACATATATTTATATAGTATATATTATAAGACTTTAAGTAATAGCGTATCTAATATACCATATATAGAGTTTTCCAATTTACCACAAGTATAAAAATAAATTGAATTCATAATAGTTTTATTATATATACGTATTATTTTATATTAAAGTTAATGATAATTTATAAGGTGAATGAAATATTGCATTGCTCAATTTGATTGGAACAAATTACAGCCACAAGCATTTTTGGAAATCAAGCCAAGGCCTCACACAAGTGTATCTAAATTTAAAAGTTAGATAATCTACATGAGTGACGCCAATTTGGCCATTGTTTAGCCCTCTGTGGCGATTGGCGTAGGTTCTGTAGTAGCCAACGCAGCCGTCGGATGAATTAGAACTTTGCTGGGCAGCAGGTGCTTCAGGGGTTCTAGTATTTGCGGTTGCCGCAAGAAGGTCAGCTGCTGCTGTTCCAACTGCAGTAGGCTTATGCCAAGGTGCACCGTTATGGACTGAGGTGGGAAGACACCGTGGATGCAGCGCTGTACGTAGGGGACCAGATCGTAGGCGAAACAGGAGCAGAGTTTGGCAAACGTCTCGCGCTCGTTGGGCGTAAAGGCCTGCTGCTCCTGACGATAGAAGGCGAGCACGCGTTGCGCCACCAATTGCAGCGAGCTCTGCAGGCAACAGGTGACATCGGTGGCAACGGCAAAGGGCGCACACAGGCGCAGCTCATTCAGGGCATTCAGATACCCGTTGCACAGCACCGCAAGTGGATAAAAGTCGAGCAATGTTTCAGGCGGCGCGTACGATTCCACATCCCGTTCGCTGGCAGACAAAGCAGCCGGATCGAGTTGCTTGCGTGTGTGCAGGCTCACTTTGTTGATCAGCGTGAACTTGTCCAGCTCCTTCTCAAAGTTCTCATTGACTTGCATAATGCTCGACTCGAACTTGTTGCGCACCACGCGAACGAAAATGGGCGCAATCAGAGCACGAAAGTCAGCACCCACACGACTGAAGGATAGCCCGAAGTACATGCATTGGCCCAGAACTGTTTCGATCGAGCTGACGCCACGTTCCAGATCCTCCTCAAGTGTTAGCAAGAATGTATTTATCTAAAACAAGTATATGTAAATGTATAAATATAATAGTAAAACAAACCAGCTTACCTTATTATGCAGCCATGCCTCAAAGAGTCTGTTGCCATTGCAGGTGACTCCCTGCAGCTGCTTCAACGGGGTCGACTTGTTGCCCTGCTCCGCCTCCGGAAATATGGCGCGATATTGCGTTATAATATTGAATAGATTGATGCGCGTTATCTCGATGGCCTTTGTCAAGTGCTGTTGTGCTATAAGATTACAATTTAATATCTTTATGACGGCCCTTAATTGGTGAATTATTGTAGCATACCATCTGCTTTTGGTATGGCCTCTAAGCACGTTGTCAACCAAGCGTCACGCGCCTGCAAAAACTTCAATTTCAACTCGTTGTCGCCAAAGGCCTGCATGCGTCGCAAATAGCCAACAATTTGCAAGCATTTGGGTAGCTGCAGATCCAGGCGCAGCTGTGCCACTAGCTGCGCGAGCATCGTATGCCACAAAGCCTCTACGGAGCGCACAATACTCTGAAAAGAAAAGAACATAGGTCAGAGTGTTTTTGTTGGGCATCCTGTTCTAATAGATACGCTGTACTCTAGCTGATTAAGCTTACAGCTCAAGGGAAACAGAAATGCCTCTCTATTCTTACTAACATTGACAACGGGTATAAGATGACCCTGATGCTGGCCCAAACGCTGGACATAGCTCGCCAGCTCTAATGCCTCCTCATAACGACCTTCGCGAATGCAACGTTCCATTAACTGCGGCAGCTCGAGTATCTCCAGCAGTTGAGCATTTTTGTGCAATGTTATGCTGTTGAGACGCCGCTGCTCGGTCAGCTCAGCTGATTCGGTCAGAAATTCCTCACATTTGGCGCTGAAGGCAGGCAATTTGCCAATCAGTGTATCGACCTGATCTTCGGCCTTTTTAAATTCATTGAATATTGAACGGGAGTTTTCGGCTGTTGTGATAAATGTTTTGTAATTCGATATGGCCAGCTCTTGGGTTTGCTCCAATATGCGCTTCGTCTCGTCGGCCAGCCGCGTTTGCTCCTTCTTTAGTTGTTCCACCTTGCAGGTGCCCAATTTGGCCAAATATTTATCCAGCTCCGGATTGCCACGCAGATTATCTGGAAAATTTGAATTGACCAAGCTATGTGGGGTGTGTGTATTTTAATAAAGTTCAAATGCTCACCTGGGATTCCATTTGGGAATATTAATTTTAATACTCGTTCATTTTCCAAGTCCATACTTTCTGTAAATTCCATTGTAAATTAAATTGTTTCACTTCTTGGTTTTATTATTGTGTACAATTTAATATCGATAAGTCACCTGATAACAAGAATAGTTGCAATCTATCGATATAACTTTTCTTTGCATGACAAAAGCTAGTCGATATACCATGTCCAATCAGCAACAAAAGCTAAATGATATATAAGTATACCAGGTCTTAGACAGCCAACAGCTTTCTGCTATAACACACATGTTTAAATTTTTAGCAGCGGTTTCAAATTCAATAATGATTCGTGTTTTTAATTCAGATAGACTTTCAGTCAAAATAAGTAATAACCAATGTATATTATGTTTCGCCTCCACTGATAGCTTGCGTGTGTGTTCTATCTTGGTAAAATTTCTCTTTAAAGTTTATCGTGCGTCTGCTGCACGCTGCACCATTGATGCATTGGTGAAAGTAGAACATTTATTTGTCTATTTGCTGAAAATTTAAAACATAATCTGTATGTTAGACAGTCTACACCGTCTACGCCATCTACTGCGTCTCGTAAGTACAACGTCGCAACGATGACGCTAATGAACTGAGTTGTAGTTGCATGGGAAGCGAACCAACCAGTCAGTCGCGCACTTTCATCTCGTCAGAACCAGAATCAGAATTAGCTTTACCTCAGACGTTTTGGCGTCGTCCGTCGAACGTCGCGACGTACATACATATGGTAGTAAAGGAGACGTTAATGTCGCTGTAATCGTAAATTATAACCACTCCAGCGGTTAAGTTGCCGAAACACGATAAACGGATAAAAACGGATAAGGTCTAATGTAAACATTATTAAATAGGACTTTCAATACTTTGCGCCGAATATTCTATTTCTTATCTCGTTGCAACACTAAAGAAACAAAAAAAAAATACTTTTATATATTTTGTTGATTAAGCTTTTGAAAGGTGGCTAAGCCGTGTCTTTATTTCTACACTTTCACTTTACTCCAAATATAATGAAGTGTGGGTACACACAAATACCTTCGCATATACACGCTGAAGGTGCGCGCCCGAATGTGTGTGTGCCTGTGTGAAGTAAATGTGAAATCATTGTGTGAAGAGAAAAATATAAACAAAATTAACAGCTCGACGGTGAGTTACCCTTTATGTTCGCTTATGGCAATCTATTCATTGCAAATGCTATTGATATATGTATATGTAAAGATAAGACAAGACGATAATTGATAGTTAAAATATTTTAATAATTTTTATGATTTATTTTGTAAATTAATTAATTAATTTAGCCAAAGAAGTTATGTTTTTAATCCAATTTTCTCTTAATCTAATTGCCATCTGTCATACTCGCTCTCTCCAATCCTCTCTCTTATCGATTTTGAAATCCGTTTCACGATTAACAAATATAATTTCTTGTCCAACTTTTACTCTAATTTACTATTATTTTTCTCTTTCTCACTTTTCCTCTTTCTTTAACGCTTTAATATGATTCCTTTTTCTTCATCTCTCTCTCCCTCTCTCTCTCTTCCTCCTTCTTCATTCATGATTCCATTCTTCATTTTTTGCGATGTGTATTAATACGATCGTGATCCCTCATCGCACGAGATTATGAAAATATTAGCTAATGTAAATCGATATTCAAATTGAATATCATATATGTATAAGAGATTATATCTTAGTGTGTATCACATTGATATACGTTTTACTCAGACATGATAATCGAAGATAGCTCTCGCCGGCGCGCACACTAGATCTGCACGCAACTTGCTTGAATACAATTATTTTCACTGCAGAGCATGTGAATATCTTAAAACAACACACAGCATTAATAGTTTTTAGCAGCTGTTAGACCGGCAAGCTTTGTGTTTGATTAGTGACAAACATGCGATGCAACAAAATATAGCAATAACAATATCAACAGCAACTACAACAACAGAAACAGAAACAGAAACAAGCGGCAGCAACACCAGCAACAACAAAGTTAAACGCCACTACTGACCTACTAAGCGGCGTCATCGTCTTCGCTGCTCGGCAAAACTCGGCACCAGCTCCAGCTCCAGCGCCAGCACACCAGTACGAGTACCACCAACACTTGAAAAGAACAGCAACAATAACAGCAAAGCCGGCGTGAGGCGCAGTAGCAATCAGTCGGTCGGTCGGTCGGTCGGTCGGTCGTGCCTTCGTTTCGTTTCGGAGTCGACCATCTGTGTATCTTCGGGGTTTGCGCTTTGCTCTCTCGTCGTGTCGTAGCTTTGTCATTGCGTGTGGCTCATTGTGTTCCTGTGGTTAGTTGTTGTTATTTTTTTTGTTTTTTGCGCTGCTGCTGTCGTTGCTGCTGCTGCGCTCGCTTGTTTTTCAATGTTTGTTGTGTTTTGCTGCCTGCGCCCGCCCGACGCTAACGTTTCGAATAATAAATAAGAAAAAGTTTTCCTGCAATCGCAAAAAACAACCATAAAAAGCTGTAAAAATAAAAACAATAGTGGTCAATAGGAACAGCTGAGTGACACCCTGGAAAAGTTAAATGTACGCTGAGCCTCGACAAAAAGAATATCATAGTTTGTATAGCGACTATTGTCCTCTTACTTAATTTTTTTATCAATATTGAATAAATAATAATAGTTGCTAATAACATAAAACCTTCGTTTCGCGCTTATCATACCCATTTCTTGTTGATAGACGAAGGGTATAGAAAGCGTTTTCGCTTGCGTCGCGGTTTGGCCGTCTTTCTGGCTCTGTCGTGAGTCGGGTTCCGATTTTACGGGTTGGCGGGGTCGGCACTGCCGACGCCGCTGTCGCCGTCGTCATTTGCCGACTCCGCTTTGCGACGGCTCTTTCGCCTTAGCTCTTGACGCAGTTGCAAACGTGAGTGCGAAGCGTGTAAACGTGATTTGGTTTCAAGCTTCAGCTCCGACAGCGCTCTTGTGGTTTATGCGCGCCTGTTAATTCAGCGGGACAGATTGGTAAAAAAGTCGCTGAAAGCTGAAACAAAGCAAAGTGTGTGCTGAAAATAACTATTTCAGTTATTATGAGTGTTACGAGTGTCAATAATGTTCACACAAGCCTCAAGCCGAATCGAAAGCTATATTCGAGTACGTGTGTTAATATCCTGTGACTCTTCACACTGGCGATAAATCCAAAGCGCGAACCTATTGGGCCCAGGCCCCAAAGACCAAGGCAAGTGTAGAATCATAGTGAAAATCCTTTAAAGAAATTTCTACAAGCCGCGATTCTGTGTATGTGCCATTGTGTGTGTGAAACAGAGTGAAAGGAAATAATGGATTTTACGAAAATGGATAAGGGATTGCAAATTTCAAAACTAATAAAGGTAAATATCCATAATATAATATAATCGTGTAACTAGAAATATCAAACATTGGTGTTTAGGTCTTAGATGGAAGTCTGTGAATTATAACTGATATCATCTGATAAGTTTTCTTTTTATCAGACAAGTAAAATTATTTTAAGCAGGAATGATCATACATGAATGTGTACTTGCAGGAGATGCTCTTGTTCTTCACATTTCGCTCAATAGAGGAAATTAATTATTGAGAAATTATAGAATTAAAATATCTTTTTAAATTTGGGAACTCTTTTCAATTTTGATGGAAATCGATTACAAAATGATATTAAAAATTAAAAATATTTATAACCTGTTTAAACATACAGTAGTATTTACCACGTTTTCTTAATGTTACTCGATCAGTTACGAGTTGATTTTAGAAAATGGTTAGAGATAAACAAAAAAAAAATTCATTTCATTCTACTTCGAGGAAGTCTATTTGTTTCCATAGTCAGATAGACAAATAAGAAACATAACAAGATTCATTGAACTTTTGATTCTGATTCGGATTTTAGATATTTATTGTATTCCCTCAAGTCCAATATTGTTACATTGCTCATTGGTAAAACAATATACCCTTTATAAATTTTCAATGGGTTCAGGGTATAAAACAGTATTACAAACCATAAAAAAAGTTCCGCTGCTGCTTTTGTTGTTTCGTTACCGGTTGGGAGACATGAAAATAATAAAACAAAACACAAAAAATTTCACTTTCTTCGAGCGTTGACGGCTTGGAGCGATTTCTTAGTTAGGCGGCATACAATTTTTTTTTTTTTATAGTTTTATACTACCTATTCTATTTTTTGTTTGCACGTCATTTGAATTTTGAGCGCGCCGCAAAGAGCAAGCAGAAAACAAATGAAATATACTATTGCCAAATTTGAATACAAACTGTTTTGATAATGGCCTGCTTTTCCGGTAAGGCAGTTAAGTGAAATTTATGACATTTCGATTTAGCAATAGTTTTATGTGATATATAAAATGTTCGAATTGGCGTAGCATTTTTAATTAGCATTTGGAAATTGAAGAAGGCTCGAAGTAGCCTTACATTTTGGCCAGCCCCGAGTTTCACCAGATGCTGGCGATGCTGCGCTCACCTGATCTCTGCCAGATGGCAATTAGTAAGCACAGAAACGGCAATAACCGAAACCAAATTTGGTTAAATGTAACATCAACTTCATTTGCAGTTGGCATTCTGAATTGATAAATAATTAATTCTCAGCCGCAGTATATGCCACAGCGATCTATGTCTGTGTGTTTGTGTGTTGGCCACAACAGCTTGGCCACTTGGGGGAAATGAAGACATAAACGGCAAACGTCTCTCAGCTTCCAGCTGGACTCTCCATCCAAGCAGCCATCTATCAGGCGGTCAGCGCGCTGATGGAGGCTGCCTTTGGCAGCGTCTTCTTAGAAAGTCGCAATCCTAATCGCACTGACACATTAAAGTAGCTACAATCGAGTCATGGAGTGACAAATGTCTTCCTCAATGCGACTTGACTTAATGGCCAATTGGACATATTGATTTGTTAGACTGCGCTGACAGCTGCCCAGCTGTCCAGCTGTCCGTCCACCTGACTATTGCTCCAATTTTCACATGACTTTTTCTCCACTTACAAATATGACAATGTTTTTTTTTTCTTTGTGAGAGACTAAAATTTAATCACTTAGATTTATTGATATATATATATATATAAAGCTCTAGCGAAAGCAATTTTTGCGCTTGCTTTCCATTTCAGTTCAGAGTTTTGACCCAATTCGTTGCTTTACTTAAAATTAATTTCAAAACAAGTTTGTTCCTTAAGTCTTTTGTTATGATTTCGGCGAATTTAACAAGTGAATTTATAACTCGTTAAATCGAAACTTGGCTTATAATTGGGATGATTTCAATTTTAAATTTATTTGTAGTTTTAATTGGTAAATTTTGTAAATTAAAGTAAATTTAATTTTCTGAAATTGTTTATTCTTTAAATTATAATTATTATTTGTTTAATACTTTTTATACTTTTTGTTTAACTTTTCTTTAAAGGTTAAATTTCTTTATTTTATTTGTTTATTTTTTTAAACTAAATAATGTATGTATTTATTTATAAATATTTTTATTATTTTTTTTTTCTTTACAATATGTATTTTATTTATTTATTTAGTATTTATAACTATATTTTTTAGTTCCTATATTATTTTTTCACTGTTTCTTATTCTTAGTTTATCTAAAAACTTTTGTTTTTAGGAATTTGGTTTTTTGATTTACATTGGTTTATTTATTTGTAGTTTGTATATTTATTTTTTAAATCGCTCCTTACATTCACAATTTTTTGTTAAAGGTCGTCGAAATTCTCATAATTGCTTAAATAAATTTAGTTGTAAGCGTCGACTGCGATTGAGTAAGTCCGTATTGGGACAGCATTACCTAACCAGTCGATAAAAGCGTTGCACAGACAAATTTACGTGTTAAAATTTCGGTGAAGGCATATAACACTTTCTATTCGACAAACGCAATAGAGGTGATTCATGCGAGTTGAACTATAACTAAATGGATAACAAATATGCGAAGCCAGGCGACAAACCAGTTTCGAGAGAGACCCAAAGTGGAGCTCAACACCTGAGCAATTGTGGATTAAAAATGTTAAATGTAGTTCAGCAAGTGCTCCTGAAAGGGAAAGGGAAAGTTGAAAGGGATCAATAATTGGTCCACTGTGGATGTTGATGATTATTTACTTTTACTTGATGCTTAATTGCGCTCTCTTTCCCATTTCCCTCACTCTCTATCTGTCGGTATTTCTCTTTCTGTATCTTTCTCCACTGTACAGCATCTGTAAATCAAGGTAATTGCTGGCATTCTCTATGCTTGGACCATTCATTGCAGGCTGCCCGCATATGCAAATGCAAATGCACATCGATCATCGTTTCATGTCTGCTGCAGTTGGCACTGCGTGAAAGTAAAATTTGATGAGACTAAGCCAAAGAGAAAGACATAAGGCAAGACAGACTGAGAGAGAAAGAGTGAGAGAGAGAGAGAGAGAGGGCGACAAGCTTGTTTGGTCCGTTCCGCTTTTAAGTTTTTCATAATGTTGGCCATGAATTGTTTGCCAGAGTGAGAGCCAGCTAAGTGCATTGCTCGATTGGGTCTTGAAAAAGTAAAAATAATGGATTATTAAAAATTTTAGTTTGGGTCAGAATATATTTGATAAGTCTACAAGATTGCTCTCCTTGACAGCATGAAAGATCATAAAAAAATATATATATTATTTTTTTTTATTCCAGGCTTTGCAGCTAGTACCTGCTAGTTTTTAAGATAAGGCGACTTTAATAATAATAATAATATATAAACTAAATATTTTTTCATGTTTTTCTTTTTTTTTTTTTCTTCACAAAAACATTTTTTTTAATGATATTAATTAACATCTAAGTAGATCAAGTTTATATGATCCACAATTCTAGAGTTAGGATCTGAGAGATCAGCAGTAGGATTACTATAGAAACTCAAATTGAATATATTTTAAAATGTAGGCAGGATGAACAAATTTAGCTTGTTTCAAATATTCAATGATTTAACTAAAATTCTTCTAATGCATTCTTCAATTTCTCCGTCACTTTCAGTGCGATTCTCTGGTGCTGCTGCTGCTGCTGTTGCTCATGGGCATTGTGAGCTCCTCGCAGGGCAGCAACAGCTTCGGATTTGACTCGGCCAACTCGTGCAGCCCGAACAGTAAAGTGTCGCGGCGTGGGCGTGCCCAGATGCTGGCGGCCATACCGTGCGACCTGGCCAAGCAACCGTTCTGTCATCTGCCCGGCTCGATTTACCCGTGGCACGCCGTACGCCGGTTCGTGCACGAGAACCAGGGCCTGATGAAGCGCATGTATGGGGATGTGCGCCACATATCCATACTGCGCGATGAGATCCAGAACAATGAGGTCGTCGACATGGACAACATGGAGGAGGCAGCACAGCGCTACTCCAAGATGCCGCGCGGCGCCAAGTATATGCTGCATGGCAGGGATGCAGATCGAGATGAGTTCAGCAACTACAAAGGCAACGATGTGCTCATGGAGCCACATTTCCGGCCAGTGTCCACGACGAGTGCAACGACAACTACGACACCGACAACTCCAGCGACCCCAACGACTCCCGACACGACGAGTTTCGCTTCGACTGAGCCAACAGTGGCTGCAATTGTGCATCTGGGCGAGGAGCAGCCCAGCGTCGAGTCGAACAGCGTTTACGAGGTGGCCAATGCCACTGCAGCAACTGCAACAACGACAACAACAACATCATCAACAACAACAGCAACAACAACGACGACGGCGCGACCTAAGCAAACGATCGCAGATGACCTTCCACATGACAATATGAACAATATCGACAGCCCACCACAGGAAGTGGAGCAGGGCCTACGCAATTTTTCGAGCAACCCTCTGCCTGTGACTCCTGCAGCAGCCTCAAAAGCAACTGCCACACCGTTGCCCAGTCATAAGCAAAAGGTGAATGAGAATGCAACCACGACAAGTCCATCTATAGATGGAGCAGCATCTGCTAGCAACACCACGGTACAAACTAAGACAACATCAGCAACACCAACGTCTCCCATAGCGGCAGCAACAACTGCAACACTCAGCAGCAGCAACAACAACATCAGCAGCAGCAGTTTAGTCCCACGCAGAAATGTGACTAAGACGATATTAGGAGCAACGACACCTGCCAGCTTTGCATCGCTCTTCTCGCCCACATTCACGTCGTTGATTGCGGACAAGCAGCGCAAGCCGGTGCCGGGCGGCAGTACATCGTCGACACCTGCCAGCGCTACGAAAGCTGGGCTGTTGCGCGAGGGAGGGCAGTTGTTCCAGGATGCCATGAAGCAGGAGCCGATGGCTGTCACAAGCAATATGCGTGGAGTGTAAGTGCAATCGATGAGTATAGCTAAATCGACTTCTTTAATGATCCCCTCCATTCTACAGAAATGCTTGTCCTGTCAAGGACGAGGTGGTTGCTCCGTTCTGGGCGAACAACACGCGTGGCGAGGTCCTGGCGCTGCTCAATCTGTACCCCTTCGAGCAGTACGTACACTGGGAGAAATGCACCCAGGAGTTCAAGCAGATGTTCTGCCGTGATGGCTGCCGCTGCGAGCAGCAGTACCGGCTGCACCGCCTGCTGGCCTACGACCCGCACAACGAGTGCCGCGGCATCTTCTCCGACTGGTTCCGCTTCCCCTCCAGCTGCATATGCAAGTGTTACAATATCCCAATGGAATTCCGCGCCACGTCGCGCAGTCCTCGCTCCGACAACAGCTTTGATGCCACCCAGCCCCAGTCCCGTCCTCAGCCCCATCTCGATCCAATTGATGCCGCCGAGACCGAGGTCCAGCGAGCTATCTATGAGCATGCGACCGATCAGTGGTATCGGCCGCGCGACGAATACGATTTCTTTGAGGGCTAGTTACGATACGATAGTTGAGTCCCCAAATATAATGAATAATGAAAAATGTCTTCGACTGAGTCTATTGCTTATCAACCTAGTCCCTCTAAATGTACAGTAGTGTAACACCCCCAGATATAGCTGAAAGATAATATTACTTATTTCTGTAATCAACTTTAACTTACACTAAATCTAGTTATGACTTAAGTTTCTATATGTTAGATCATCTTTTGTAGCCTAAGCAAGTCATTATGTTATTGTATATATAGACCAACATAATGTCTCTCCCAGCGAACATTGACAGAGCAAGTGTACCTAGAAATATCTATTAGACGACGGCGCAGAGCACGTTTAATAGTATTGCATTTTATGATTAAGTGCGGCCATAATATACATATATTTTACACTGTAAATAAAGCGCAACGAAATAGACAATTTTGAAAAAATATTTATTGCAAAAATAGATATACGCGTAATAACATTCTTACGCAGATATGTAAGTATATTATGGATAAAATCGTTTATAATGTATTTAATACGTTTACATAATATACTTTCTGATTTAGGTATATTTGAATTATGTAGCATTCATTTTCGCTAAAGGCATTTCTGTATCAGTTTTTTACAATTACATTTTAAGTGATTTAATAATAGTAATAGCGTTTTATCAATGTCCACTTTGTTCATCGAATAAAGAATTTCAATCTGAATACCTAATATTACATTTTTATTTGATTTTTCTATTCTCTTTTCTTTTGAAGCTCAAAGTTGCTTGAAAAGTATTTGAAATAAGTAAGGCATTATGGTTGCAATATGATAAAGCCAATTTTTCGATTGCCACACAATCAAATATATATAATTTAAACAATAGAATCGAGTAAGATTTGCACAAAATTTGATTTGAAACCCTACAGAGAGAATTTTTGAAACTCTCGTCCAGACGAACAACAATTATTTCACAAGTATTTAAGAATTACGTAAACTAGATCAGACATGGAAAAAACATACAGAATACAGAATACGGCGCCCTTTTGCAAACGATGTGGGCAAAATATGTGTTTAGCATAGACGACATTGAATACTCTATGTTAAGCGAAACGAATACAAAAACTTTGTATAATATTAATACGCACTCCAATACTATTATCATATATGTATATATCCTTAAGTCTATGTAAACTTCACAACTCGCTTAGTTGTGCTAGCCATTTGTTACAGGGACCCAGAGAAGTTTGTCTTGCTCCTTATCAACAGCGTCCTTGATCTGTGTGCACATGTGCTTAATGCTGACTCCAGGAATTACGGCTAAATAAAGAAGAATATATAATTCTAATTTGAGCAAAGTCAAAGGTAAAAAAAAAAAAAAATTACTTACCGGATATATACTGTTTGTAGTCAAACTCCAGTTTCAATGCCCGTTCGTACATTTCCTTAGCTGCCTTGGCTGATATTTTGTCGGTGCCAAAGTCTCGGATATCGCGAATTTGTTTGGCCGACTTGAAGCGCAGCAACAAAACAATCGGATAAATTTGTAATCGTTGCAGTCGCTCCACCGCTGAGATCGACACATCCAGAATGCAATGACGGCGATCCTGTATAAGATATGTTATCTATTTGTTCTAAATTTCCCTTCACTAGATTCTTACAATTTTGCACGCATTACTGATAGCTTCCACGGTAGTGCATTCGAACTTATTGCCACGTCGACGATAATCTACGAATATGTTCTCTTTGAGGCCCTCCTCCATCGCTTCCTGTGAACAGTCCATGGTCGTTACCTCGCACAGCTTAAATAAATTGGAAAAGTCTATCTTCAAGCGATCTATCAAGCACTCAGACAATGGTCCAATGATTAGCACTGGTCGACGTATCGGTGCTGTATTCAAGAGATGTTAAATTAGCTATATGGAGAATCATTAAAAACAAATTCGTACTCACAGTCTAGAAGCTCAACCCGCTGATAGCTTAGGACGCCACCATCGTCATTCAGAATGCCAGAGTCGGGAAAAAAACTCAGCTGCGTGTTGCTAAAGCTTGCTATCTCCGTTGAGTCGCGCGAGGAGCTTCGCTGGTTTTTCTTTCGGCGAAAAAATGATCGACGTGCTGATGTGCTGCCGCGTCGCGCAGTTCCTGTATCACAATCAACAACCTCGCCCGAGCGCAACTCCTCCTCCACCCTTCAGGAGAAACGACATCACTTAATAAGGGACCATCGAACAGTCTAAAGCAAGACTTACTTCATTTGACTTGGAATGACGCCGCACTCCTTACGGTGCCCCATTGCATCCAATTTCCATGCGCGCCATAGACCAAAGGTTCCATTGAACACCGTATTATCCACATAAAGCACCTCGTCCTTGATGAAACGCAAGTCCTCCTCATTTAGTTCACCAACACGATCAAACCCCACTCGTATATAAAACGAATCGCCTGGCTTATCCTTGATTTGCTTGAGTGCTTCAAACGAACGACGAAATGATTTATGAGAGATGCAAAGTTAGCTTATGCAAAAATACAACTTACTTTGCAATTTGTTCTGCACTAGCATGGTAACGGTGTCCGTGAGCTTCGAGATCTCATTGGCAGCCTGCTCGGCGGTAACTCCGCTCAAATCGACACCGTTGTACTCCAATATGAGGTCACCCTTACGTATGCCGGCGTGATCCGATGGAGAGCCAGGTGCCACATCGTGCACATATATTCCCACCTTGTTACCACCAAAGAGCTTAATGCCCAGATTCTTCGACTTATCCATGTGGAGTGTGACAAAACGCAGACCTAAAGACGAAACATTTCCAATTTAGCATTAAAATTGATTATTGATTGATTTATAGAAGACTTATTTAAATCTTATTTCCTGATATACTATTAAGGGAATTTAGGCTTCTCTAAACGATCCATTGAAAATAGTATGGTATATTCAGCTAACTTGAACTTAATATTGGGTATACTTAACAGAAAATAATACTATATGTTTATGGTATATTCAACTAACTTATTTAGTTAAGATCTTTGTAGTTCATTCACAACTTTAAAAATAATATAATTATACATTTTTTTATAGTTCGATCATACGCATATTGGTTTCAGGAAACGAACTAATAATGGTTAGCAATAGTAATTAATGATAATATATAGCCAATTAAGAATAGTAATTGAATGCAGTCGAGTCTCGATAATTTGTGCCCTGCTAAATCGAAAATCACGATAAATCGAAAAAAATTCTATCCATTTTCAATTACTGAGATTTTACTGTACAATATTTTAAGAATGATAACTTTGTTTCTTTTTCATAACTGTTACAACAATTCAGTATAGGTTCATATAAAGAAAAATTAGTTTTACCAAAAAAATTGATGCAATTAATGAACAATTTTTGAAGCTAAAACCGTCCGTCTCAATATGTAATTAGCAATTACTTTTTTCTTTCCATTTTATCATATATAATTTATACTTTATATTCAATTTAACTAACCAACTAACTAATATACTGTAAGTTCGAATTTATATACTAATATTTAATATAACTAACCTTCTGTCGACACTGATGTCGCAGCCGATGGCAGACTCAGCTTGGTGTCCTCGTCGTAAACGGTCGAAGTGGCCGAGGCAGTTGTCGTGGTTGTCGTGGCCGCCGATGACGGCATATCTTGGCTGCTGCTAATATCCGATTGATTCTCCAGGCTGTCTGTGAAGCTCTGATCCTTGATGGACTGATGAGAGAGCGGCGCACGTGTAACGGAGACCGCGGACGGAAGCAGAGACAGCGGCTGCATCGGCAATGTCGTCTGCACACTGCGAGCCGGCGGTCGCGGTGAATTTCTGGGGGTCGGCGAGCCCGAATGATTAAGAGGAGATTCTGGTTCCAGATTGTGTATGCCTTCGTACTCAGTTGTGTGAAACTCTGCAAGATAACTCAGTTAGAGATGGTTAGGTAATAGAGGTTGTTCTGTTTACTCACTCTCTGGATTATACTGCACCAGCATTGTGAAGGAATCACCGCACTGTCGCAGCACATTGGCGGCTATTTCGTTGGTGGCCGCACGCATATTGATGCCACATACTTCCAAGAGTTGATCGCCCACCTGGAGACCGGCACGCATTGCGGTACTCTTGTCGGCAACAGTTGACACGAAAATACCGCCACCATTGTTGTTGCACTGTATGGTAATACCTAGCGACTTATCGCGCTTGTCGATCGTGACTCTTCTAAGGTCTCCAGGGCATAAAAAATCCGAGGCAACGTTCGAGTTCCGTTTGCCACTGCCACTCGGCCCGCCATGGCTCAGCACCTCCACGTGGACCTGCGGCATCGGCGAGCCCCTTCCACTGCCTCCGCCGCCGCCTCCACCGGCCACGCCTCCATTGACGCTGCTCACATTGCCTGCATAGTTGGTGTGCAGCGACGAGTTCATCAGCGAGACGGGCACCCCTGTGCTGCCGCTGGTGGCGTAGTGGTGGTCAATGGATCCGGAGCTGTTCTTGACCAGGCTGCTGCTGTTCTGCCTGTTGCTGGCCACGCTGGGGTTCGACGGAATGCGCAGGCGCTGATTGTCTTTCTTTCGCGGAAAGGTTCCGCCCTCGTAAATGACGCCATTCCCCGACCCCACGACGCCAGCGAGACTGTACGGATAGTGCGACTGCGGCTGACTGTAGTCCATGTAAGGCGGGTGCTGGAGGTGCTGATGTGGGTGTGGATGCTGCTGCTGCTGCTGTTGCTGCGTGTGCTGACCCGGCACAAAGTCCAGATCCGTGGGTATACCAATGGTGCTGTTGTTGCTCGTATTCTCCAACTGTGCCGCCTGCGGCGGCTGCAGTATCGACGCCATCGTTGACGGCGGCGGCGAGGGCAGCGTCAGGGGACTGGAGCGTCGCATGTAGCGCTGTCCATGACTGCTGGGCTGAAAACTGGGAAAGAGTTGCGTGTGTCGATTGCCCACCGTACCCATGTGCGCCTGATGCGACGGCAAATAGTTGTGTCCGCCGGAAACGAGAATGCCGGAGCCAATGCTCTCGCTATCGCTGGGATACTTGGGCACGTGCTTCGGAGGCATCGGCGGCACATTGCGCTTTCTATAGACGTTGCACTCGCTTATCGGCGGACTCTTAGCCGACAGCATGGACTCAATCGAGTTTTGTGACTTGAGCGAGATGATGTCCACGGGTCCGCCCGAACTGGAGCCAGCCGAGCCACTGCCGCCCGACACACGAGGTGGCGGGTGGACCGGCATGAATGTGGCGTTCACCTTGGGCAGTGGGAGGGGCAGTGGTGGCGCCGGCTGCTGAAACATGTCGAACATCTGTTGCTTGCGGGTCGGAAACTCTCCGGCAGCCACCGCCGGGACGACCTGCTGCTGTGCCTGCTGGCCGCTCGTCTTGGGCTGGTAGAAATCCCCGCCGCTGGGCGGAATA